CGGCAAGCAGAAGCCATACTACGAAAACTGGCCTAGCTGCATAAGAACTAGTATCAACGCCATTTACTGGGAGAGAAAACGAAAATAGCAAATCTTGAACTGTCGTTCAGTATAATAGGGAGATATTGTTGAGCTGTCCATGAAACTAGCAATCAAACATTGCCATTTTTTTACGGCTCTAAGCTGGCATCAGACTTCAAACAGCGGAATGAAGAAAAAGAAAACAAAAGCAAAGAAACAAACAAGCATAGAGAGTTCAAATGGTTGAAGATGTACTAATGACATATATACTTATAGAACGTGTGTCCTCTCTTCATTCAGATATCAAGATGTTCATACCCAGTCGTACATCATGGTGCTGGCGAGCGAGAGATGGCTGGGTATTCGCATGACGTTTCTCATCTCTCTTTTTATTCTTGCCGTAGCTTTAGCTGCGATCTTGGTGTCTCAAGATGCTGGTAGGTGTCTGTTAACTGTGAGGAAAGTTATACTCAAAAGACCATTTTATCTAAAAATTTACTGCGTGCCTAATTTTAAGCTCAACCTAATCGCTAAGAGTTGTCTTTAAATGTACTTACGATATTATTACAGGCGCCGCCATTTTGAAGAAAAACAATTTTGTAATCTGACTGCTGGCTGATCACTCCTGGCGATCCGGAATTCAGTTCAAATGGCGCGAACCAAAATGCTGACTGTCGTTATTTTTTGTTATTTCTACCTCAGCCAGAAAAAGGCTGACAATTAACAAAAACACTTTTTGATAGGCGAGAATAATTATGCGTAAGTCTATTCAATCAGATCAGAGAGATTGATGGCCGACATAAAATACCTGACCTGCTACCTGCGCGCAATAATGCCTCCCAGTACAACTAAGGAATAAGTGAAGGTTTGCTATGCCCGGTATCAAAACCAAAAGGTTTTAAAATTCCTTCATAATGCACTATGCAGCAAAAGAGCAATATAAATCTAGGTAGGATTATTATTAATATTTTTAATTGTTTATATTTAGAACTTATTATTGTACGATTTATATTTTTGGTGATATAAAATTTTAAATTTATGTAAATTATGTACTTGTATTGCAATAATAATTCAGCTACTAGCTGCTAGTTGTGATTTTAATAATAATGATAGACATAAATTCTGTATTTTATCGATAGCTTTTGCAGCACTGGGGCTTGTTTATGTCATCGAGTCTGCAGAACAAATGGATTTTTCTGTTAGAAAAATGGCTGAAGTAGAGAATTGCATGACGTCTGCTGAACGGGTTATGGCGTACACCAAACTTGACCACGAGCCTGGGTACCAAGTGAAGCAACTTCCCCCGAAACACTGGCCTCTTGAGGGGAACATCACATTTCAAGACGTGTCTTTGACGTATTATCCAGGGGGTCCTCAAGTACTGAAGAACTTTAACCTTCATGTGGAAGGAGGAACTAATATTGGTGTTGTAGGACGAACGGGAGCCGGGAAGTCATCTCTAGTGGCAGCTCTCCTACGCATGCCAGATCCTCATGGTGTCATAATGATCGATGACGTTCTTATAAAGGACGTCAACCTTCAACAGGCTCGGAGATGTATATCTGTTCTTGGCCAAAGTCCTGTCCTTTTTAGTGGCTCGCTGAGAGAAAATCTCGATCTCGAAGAAGGGTTCCAAGATTTAGAAATGTGGCAAGCCTTAGAGAATGTTCAGCTGAAGGAAGTGATCGAAAGTTTGGAAGGAAAATTAGATCATCAGCTGTTGGAAAATGGTGCAAACTTCAGTTTAGGAGAACGACAGCTAATTTGTTTGGCTCGTGTTCTTTTGCATAAAAGAAAAATTGTCATCCTAGATGAACCCACTGCACACGTGGATCCAGACACAGAACAAACAATTTGGAGGGTAGTGCGAGAGAAACTGAAGGGCTCCACAGTAATCACCATAGCTCATCGACTGAACACCATCAAAGACTGTGACATGATTTTGGTCATGAAAGATGGCGAGATAGATGAGTTCAACAAGTTTGAATCATTAGCGAATGCATTAGTTGATAAATAGTCGAATGAAGAAAAACAAAAAAGCGACTGAAACCACGAAAGGAATTGAATACCATTCTATTGTTTTTCAAAACTGCCTCCTGCTTAAGCCCTTTAGAGAAATTTGTTCTCTTATGAGTTCGGTAGTGATCAGCTGAATACGAAACCGCGTAAATAGAATGTTTTCTCAAATTTGTTAAGTTAAGGCTGGCGTCCTATTGTAAGGAGAGGTATTACTTATCTCCCTTTTAACGGAATGTTTTCTTATTTATTACTTTCTAGCACAACTTGCTTGCAATAACAGCCTTGCCTTAGAGGCTAAATTACCTCCATTACTATTTGCGTGATGACTTTCAGTCCTACTTTTGCTGATTTTGCAAAAATTTGTTTGTATCTTTAGTTCGTTTCAAAAGGGAATCGGGGAACATTGCTGGTAAATAGTTGCTGGTTTCTAATTTCCCAGAATGCTTGCACCACTTACATTACTATAATATCACTAGAAACTAATTCTCACAAAGGTACAAAGCTAATAAACCTGCCATCTTTCTAATACACTGATACTTTCACCGAAGGTTACAAAGCTTATGAGCGACAGTTGCTTCGTATTTACATTCATTTTCTTGTTACATTTTAGACATCACATTTCCCGTGTTATAAATTATTTACACGACAATAGATCACAATTAACTAATACATGTATTTTTTAAAAATTGATAGTTATCATAGATTTGGTCGGCAGAGTCGGAAAGGGTTAGTTTTTTTTTCTTTTCAAGAACACCAGGGGGCACTGTAAAATATCATAAATCAGGGGATTTGATGAAAATCGCTTACCGGCGGTGCCTCTTTCGCCTACTAGTGGGTTGTCGTGTTTGGGTCTCGCCTCACGGCCCCTTTTCTGGGGAAACCGCCTATTGTACCATCGGCAGCAGCCTATGGAAAAAGTTATTGCAACCCCTGAATGATTTCAGAGAGCATAGTTTAGACTTGCTTTCAGGTAGCCATTGTCTATGGTGGATTTGGTGTTTCTTTAAATAAAGACTCATCCATAAAGCTAATCAAGTTTGAGTTATTCATGAAGCTGGGGGCCGGTCTCTCGGAGGTTCCGGTAGCTTAATGGGCCTATAAAGGTGTCTTTTTCCCCTTCAAGGGGTTTGAAAATTCTACAATAAAACTATAGGTTAAAGAAAGGAAATGGACTGGTTAGGGTGCCAGAACCCGCTTCTCTAATCTTTGAATTTTTATTTCAAAATATGCTGATTTGGGCCCGTTTACGGTTACCGGAACTTTCGAGAAACGGGCCCCTGCACCAGCTAAAAGTAGTTTCCGTTGTGGATTGTAAACATTGAAAATAAATTAAGATGAAGTTAGAAGAATCTTCCTCTCTTAAATATAAACAGGTGCAGATTTTAAAACAAAATAGGGATAAACAATGGTATTAGTGCTGAAATATTCATGATCAGGAAGTCTGCATGTCTACTTTTGAGTTTACCATCGACAACTGCATTTTGATCAACAAGCAACAAATTAAATTTTATACACGCCATCTTAGTGACAGGAAGAATTCTAAGGAGATTGCTGGGGAGAAAAAATTCATTCTCCAGGACATCAACTTTTAGGCACGGTAAAAAAGTGTCACAGTTATCACCAGACCTAATCTTCTTGCTGCGATCGCAGAAGAAATCTCGGTCACGAATAGCTACACTACCACACCATGAGTCCTGCGTTCCTGGGGAAGACAAGTCATAATCCCTTGTCCTTGGGCAAATATACAAGCCGCATATTTTTGCACCAAACAGAGGCTAATGTCTCTATTATCCTTCAAACATTTTTGCAACGCGCGGGTAAAATGTGTTGAAACAGCTTACTCTTTTCTACGCATGGGATGTTTTCTTTTAAGTGTTCTTTGATACGATTTTACGAACAAACAAACGCCCTTTCTGCCTCAACAATGGCTGAATGCTCTGTCATCTTGAATTAACTTTTAAGGGAACGCTTTTACATTTCTATGTCAGTACTATGTGGAATGCAAAGAGAACAGCATAGAAAATAAGACACTGATATGAGGGTATTACAAAGCAAAACTGAAACTGCCTTAACTTCGCACTATGTAAAGCAAAGCGAGTACCAAGCCATACCTCAAATCAAAATTTACCGAATAGGGAAGCCTATTCTGGCTTCCTAACCAGTCCAATTTGTTTCTTTAGCGGACAGTTTAAATGTGAAATTTTCAAACCTTTTGAAGCCCTATCTGGAATGAAAGCAAAACAACTTTACGGGCCCGTTAAGGTACTGGGAACTATTGCAAACGGACCTAAGCTGATTGAAACCATGTCTCCTAAGTGATGCGATATCAGTGGACAGCAAAGAAAGGATAATTCATCAAAACCTGTCTTGAAATGCGATTAGATGACAATTGCAACACGGATTAAATTGGATTATGTAAAAACAATAATCCAGGGATGATGACTCGCGACAGCTGCCAAGCAATTTTCTCTTAGGTGCGTGAATGAGAAGATGGGGCTATTAAACGGATTATTCTTCTCTACATATATTATAAAGGGACGTTATAAAGGATGTTCTAAAATTTGAATGTAAGGAGAATACATAAAAAAAATAAAAGCATATTGTTACAAAAAGAAAGTATTTCTAGGGCGCAACTATCTTCGTAACCAACGTAACCGTGTCAACAAAAAAATGTTGTAAACATGTGTTCCATTAGTATCTAAAATATACGCGTTGAATCGCACAAAATAATAATTTAAATCAAACCGTAAAGTTTAAATGTGAGGAGAATACGTATAAAAAATAAAAGAAGATTGTTACAAAAAAAGGCAATTCTAGGGCGCAATTGTTTTGGTAACCAACGTAACCGTGTTAGCAAATAAGAATGCTTTAAACAGGTGTCTCATTAGTATCTAAAATATGCGCACTGACTCACACAAAATAATAACTTAAATCAAACCGTAAAAAGTTGAGGACATAAAATTGGGTCACGCTTGAAGAAAGTCTAATTCTGAGAAGATTCTGATCCGTTGGAATTTCCACTGAATTTTTATTTATTTGTTTTTCTATCTAGCCCTTTTGTGTTCTTTTTATTGTTACATTTATCTTCGGTTTCACCGTTTTCAAGCTGAATTATGGATGTCAAGTTCCATTTACTTCTGTTGCTGTTTTTGTTGGCCGGGACCTTACCCGTGATAGGAACTCCCACAGGTAAAGAGTTTATCGAGGAAATGTTGTTTGGATACGAACACACGTAGTTAATGTATAGACACAAGGATTGCATACTTAACGTAGTACATGGCTGTGATGATAAATTGATGTTATGTGGTCTTTAAAAGCCACACAGCGCGCATTTAAGGCCTCGATGGTAGTGGGAGGCACAATGGCCAAATGGTCAGTGCACTGAACTCCGCGTCGAGAGGCCCGGGTTCGAGATCTGGCCGGGACAATGCGTTGTGTTCTTAGGCTCACCGTGCAGCGTTGCTGTATTGTGTGTCCCGCACCTTCATGGTGAAAGCGAACAAAAAAGAAAAAGAAATAGGGAGGTCAGTCGTAGGACATGAGCAAGGGGCTCAGTTTTGGCCGTGTAAGCCGTGAAACTTGCAGATAATCTCTATGATTAAAGGAAACAAAATTTGGGAAAAAGTCAACTTGAGACTTTTCGAACAAAGAGCTTACTTGGCGACGGGTGTCCTGTTGTTTTTAATACTTAGTTTCAAGCTTTATCATATAAACACTGATAAAAGTTATTGTTTAATCTTTTTGTTTTTGAAACACCATGAATTACTTACTTTTGTGGTTTTATGTAAGATTCCTGTACGACAACTTGGCTTTGACAGCCCAACGGAACGCACTGAACATAAAAACAGACCACTGGACAACTAGAGCTTTTGCACATGCGCACGCACAGGAAAAACTGAACCAGTTTCGGCCTCACTTAGCCGCATTTGCACAGCACTTAAAGCGAGAAGAACAGAAATCATCACAGTATTACTATAGTTTTTTTCATTTTTTTGTAAACAAAAACCTAATATCATCAACGTCACTGCGCCTGAGTGTATGTTCACCATGTAATGGCAAAGACTCATGAGCTGTTCTCTCAAAGGAGAAACAAACTTTCACTGTTTTTATGCCAGTGACAGAATGTAAAGACATTCCAATGGCGACTTGTTATTCCAACCAGACACCTTGCCCTCCTGGATGGCGCCAATGTCCGTATCCCTGCTCCCCTTTATCCATGACATGCTGTTGTGACATGACATGATAGGTGAGAATTCAATAGAGCTTACTAGAGCTGGTGACCGATTAAGGCAGAAGTAATCAATGTGGGCCGTTAGTCAATTCACTACATGGTAATGAGATATGTGTTCTTGAAACAAGGCCTCGGCGACGCGATATACTGATGAGTTCAGTTTTGCCAAGTATTTTCATCCCTTCCGTTTCACCCACATTTCCCTACTATCAGCGATATTATAAAAACAACAAAGAATGATAATAATGGTTATCATCCTTCAAATATTTTTGCTCGCGTGCGATCTGTCTAAACGCATTACTGGACCGAAAATCCCCCAGCTAAAAACTGAGTGATATCCGAGAATATTACCCAGGTGATATTCCCAAATTTTCAAACCTTACGTCCACTACGATAAGTCTTCGTTTAAAATTTAATTCTAGGTGAAGAAGCGTTTTATGGCTGTTGCGGAAGAAGGGAAACATTTGCTTGGTCGTAAAGTCGTATCAGACAACGCTCAAAAGAGAACATCTCACGCAAACAGTAGGTTGTTCGTAAACAATTTTTAACGCGTGTTACAAAATATTTGAAGGATCGATAATAAACACAGTGGCCTTTATTTGGCGCGAAAATATGCTCGTATCTCTGTCCTTGGACATTACCTGTTCCCGTCGAGGCTAACAGTTATACTCGAGCTTCGCTCTCAGACAACTGTTCGCATCTTGGAACAGATAATGTCCGCGAAAAATATCCGCACACATTTTCGCGCCAAATAAGGGCTATTGTTTATTTATAATGAAGTATTTCTATAGCGCCATATCAAGAGAATATCAATTATATCAGATGATATTCTCTTGCGCCATATCCATTTGCTCATGGCGCATGGGGACTTTCGCCAGACAGCATTGAGCTTTTTTCAGATTTTTGAAGGAAATTTGTGCAGAAACCCCCAATTTAGGATTCGAGACCAAACCACAGCCACAATATCAGGAGTTACGCTCCCTAATCTTTTCAAGAAGTCACGGCGTGGGTTCTGTAACGTCCTCTACTAACCAGCACAGAGAATATGCAGGAGACAGGGCCCAAAGGTTTATCGTCCTTATCCGAGAAGACCTTAACGTCTAACCATACATAAATTTTGAAGTAACCCTGTTATATTGCTAACTCCTTTTTCATAGGTCTTTTATCCGCATTGGATGGCAGCAAGAAAATGTCTCCAGGAACTAGAAAATTGAGGTTTCAGATGATGAAAATGAGTAGATGCGGACTTCCCTGTTTTGATTAACACATAGCTGTGGTAAAAATAAAGGGTTAAATCATTTAAACATGTTTTTCCTATCTTTGTTTCCTTTTTTACGGAGGAAAAGCGTCGAAAAACTCAATTTCACGCACTTGCAGCGGTCTCTGACGGTGCCACATAATACTATGTAGAAAAGGCAAATTATTTTGTTGTTTTCGTTTATATGAGTTGCCTCTGAAGAGAACAAAACCCTTGGTACAATTGTTGCCAGATTATACTAAAACTTTTCTTCTCAAAAAAGAAAAATAGTCGAATATAGTTGGAACGCGAGAGCCGCCGCCAGCACGCCCGTAGGATATGGGTAACGAGTGCTGTACCCACAATTGTGAAATTTGCTTCTTCTGGGTATGGTGTGGTATTTTCACCTCAACACCGCAAATTTTGAGAATAATCTCCACTGCCTAGTCACTGGATCTTTCGAATGCCGATCTTTTTGTTAAACAGACCGTAATACTTGGCGGAAGCATCATATTTTGCATATCATACCTTTGCGTCGACCATAACCCCACTTCTCCCCGGTGGGGTGTTTTTCATAATTTGAGAGGCTTGACTCAAACGGGTCAAAGGAGGAAGCTATCAGAAGTTTTAGCAATTAATTGAATCTTCGTTACGGAATTCTAGGTATGTGTAAGAATCTGTCGGCGCCTTTTCAATCTGCGGAGACAAACAGATATCCAATCTACATAACTTTCTCCGCGCAAATAATTTGTTGATAATGTAACAGAAAATTCTCAAAGAGTGGGTTACTTAATGGATAGCTGCTTGGAGTTAATTAAGTGTCATCGTAGAGAAAAAGTTACCCGAAAGGTTTGAAAATACAAAGCAAAATCGTTATTTCGTAGAAGAGCAAATATATTTTGCGACCAGCTTTATTTATCATGTTGCCTACCATGATAAAATTCCCACGGTTATCTCAGGCTTCACAAAAATATGATCATGACTTAACTCTACACGAGCACTACAATTAATTTGCTTAGACTACGAAATTGATTCCCCCAGTGGGAGAAATATGGACTGTAAAGATCTGCAGATCTTTAAATTACACCGCGACTATGCAGAATTCACACGCTCATTTCTCCTTATATCGATCACCTCATCCGGCATGTTCTTTCAACAAATACAATAGTGGCGCCATTTAAATGGTGAAAATTTGTTTTTCATCAATTAATGACATTTTTTCATTTTTTTTTTGTTTTTCAATGTCGGCAAGTACCCTGATTTTTCATCACGGAATTAATGATAACCAGGAGCCCATTCCTGTGATAACAAAAATATAAAAAAGGCACCTTAATTGTTTTTGGGTGGTCACGCTAGTTGTAATTCACCTAAATCTTGCAGGAAGTAATCCCCATAGTTACTTAAGTGGCATATAAATATCAATGATTACATTTACATTTTAAAACAACAAAACACGAGTTATTTTTTTGTTTGTTTACCTGATGAGGAAACTGTTTTACGACTTTTGTCCTCGCCAAATCAATTTTTTCCAAACTGCCTTTCGTAGCTAGGTTCAATGTGACGTACATACTCAAAAGCATCGTCCATTAACTGAAATTCAACCAATGAAGGCACCATAAATTTAAACTAAATACAGTTGTTAGGTATGAATGTCTTAGCTTTACATTGCTGAGATCAGGAAGTCATGTTTTCTCTTCTTTGTGGATGGACTCAATGTCTTTAATCATGAATGTACGTAAGAAGGCTACTTTGATCGATAGGTGGTTGTGATTTTGAACTATCCGAGTAATGAACGATTATTCACCAACATGAAAGTAAAAAGTACTCGCTAACAAGAGAATATTGATATTATCTTGTTGTTCATCATGATCGCTTCTGAACTAGCTAAGGAACGTGCGCGAAGAGCACCATTCACCTCTATCGTATACTATCATCATGCAAAGGCTTTGTGCGCGAGTCACGTATTTTCAATTAGTCTTTGGATACTTATTTCTTTCACAGTTGGAGATACGACTTGTCAAACAGGTTTTCCGAAAAAATATTATTTTAATTATTTGACATCAAATAACTTGAAATTATATGAATCAAGAGAACTTGTTAATTTCTTTTAGAATGCTGAACTGATTTATTTCTTGTATTGTTTATGAAATATGTGGGAAATATATATTTTTTATTTTTTAGTCTGACTCAAGAAGAAAACTGTAATTTAGAAGATAAAAGTTGATCACGCATTTAATCAAATATTCACGGATACTTTCTCGAAACAGGTGCCTTTATTCAACGCGGTTACTTAGAAAAAAGATTCAAAGTTGTTAAATATTGAAGTAAAAAAGCATGTAAATATCCATCTTCTCAACCAACTTCTAAATAACTTGTTGAAGGACAGTTTTCAAGAGAAATTTCGTGGTTTGTCATCCTACAACTGAGTAAACTGTTTAAGCTGAAGTTTACAGAAGGTACGATTGACACAAACCATTTCGACGGCGACATCTGTCTTCATACGGCAGTTTGTGAGTTACACGCAGTCTATTATATCTCAATCAGCATCGCACTCACTATTTGTAAAGCGAGGATATTTGTAATATTTGTAATATTCTCATGGTTGCTGCAAGAAATTTTCTGACGTATTGCGTGATAAAGTTAATATTAATTCCAACGGTAAATAAGCGCTTATATTACCATATTACAGCAAGCACTGAGCGGATGTGTACAGGTGTAGAAGGCTGTTTTCGTCAAAACAATTAACATTTCTCCCAGAGGAAGCAAACAAAGATATACTAGGTTCTCAATAGCAAAACACTGTTGCGTGCGTTAGCTCGAAGGGGCTTCTTCGTTGGTCTAACCCCTATGAGAGTGTTGTGACACAGCTTTACAACAAGAAGTCATGGCAGCCATAGGAAATGCTTCGTTTAATCACCTCGAATTGAGTTCAAACAACGAGACGTCCTCTGAACAGTGCCGTAATGGAATAAGTCACAGTCACGTTTCTATCGCAGTGCATATTTTCTCTCTTTTAGGGTCCCTAATAGGAAACTTCCTTTTGATCGTCGCTTCTGCAAGGATAAAAGAAAAACGGCTACTCTTGATTACTAACATGGCTGCATCCGACCTACTTGTGGCGATCTTTTTACTTCCTCGCTTTATTAAAATAGAAATCACCGGGTCCAATGCTTTCCTCGTTCACGGAACTGCAGGCACAATTCTTTGCAAAATGTGTACTTTCCTCAGCGATATGTCGTTATCTGTTTCAACCCTGAGCTTAGTCATGATCGCCGTTGAGCGCTTCCTTGCAGTTGCATATCCTCTTGTCTATAGATCTACCTCCTCCAAGAGGTGCCGCATTTTCGTCGCTTCAACTTGGGCCTTGGCCGCAGCGTTTCACTCACCATATTTTTATACTTCTCGGCTGGTCAGAGTTGTTGGCAATCAAAGTCATGATATTGAAGTATGTCAACAGAGCTGGGAACCAGCTTTCAATGACAGATTAGCACATCGTCGTTACAGCATCTTTCTATATACGACCGTGTTGATTCTGCCATTGCTTCTTATTTCCGGTTTGTACATTGTTATCGCTTTCCACGCTCGGAATGACAAAATGTTGACGTGTCGAAGTGAAAGGGGAACGAAACAGAGACGGGATTGCACTCGAAATCTTCTTAGGATGGCCATCGCCACTATCATTTCCTTTCTCGTCTGTTGGACGTTGCATATTGTGATAAGTTTTATAAACCTTATTTCACCTTGGGTGGTTCCTAATTGTAACAAAAGCTTCATGGCAGTTTCTTACATCGCAGATTTATTGGCAAGTTGTTATTGTGCAGTTAATCCATGGCTCTGCTTTTTATTCATTCCAAGATTTTTCTGTGAATTAAGAGTAATGACGGGTAAAAGAAATATTAGATATTCTAGAGCAGAGGGTATAAAAATGAAGAGGTTGCGAGGGTCTGATCCAAGCAATATTCGGCTCCGCAATTTAGAGAACAGTTCCGATTAGTCTTGATATCAAGAATCAGCAAAAAATATCCTGCATAGATAATTCCGTGGACATTCTACCACGGACATAAGCAGAGCAACTCAGGTTCAATTTTTGAAAACGAGTAACGCGTGAATTGAAGAAGATACATGATTCTTTTTAAGACTCGTGATCGCAACTGTTTTAATATAGTATATGACGCATTTAACAAACAGATTCTATGTTGCCGGTGTCTTTAAAGCGGTAGATCACAAAGAGGACTTCAAAATATGACCAAAATAATTAGGCACAGGGTAGCCGAGCGCGTGACTGATGTTCATGTTACCATGGTTGCACGTCTTAAGTGTTTTATGTTTTTATTCCTGGAGAGACCCTTCACAAACATAGAATTTAGTTGTTTAATTCTATTAGTCAATTAAGAAACAATATGATTTTTATGGTGGTGTCATCAATGCGTCTTTTTTCGTAAAATTTTCAATATAGCTGAGAGGAATATGTCAAGGAATAGTAAAACAAAAAGTTGCAGGCTGCGTTTTGATATTATTTGGCTGAAACGTCGATGTTCGCGGCAAATGTAATATGATAATGAAATCAGACATGTAGAATGTACAAAATATATGACGTAATGAAAGTATGATTTAAACTATACCAAAAATAACTTCATTATCATGCTTGATAGTTCTGCTTTTCCTCAAATCTTTTTTGAATTTTTCCGAATTTTCCCCTTCTTCGTTTCCGAAATTGTTTTCACTGTTTTTCTTATCCTTTTTCCCGTCTTTTTCACAATTCTACAATATTTGTAAATCAATTTCACCTCCAACATTTCTACAGCTGAATAAATTAATCAAATACCTTTGAAAATAATCAAGCCCATAAAGATGTCGCTGTAATCCATTCCTGGATCAGAAAGCTTTCAATCAGGTCCTCACGTTTTGTACAATCGTTTTTTACCGGATGAGGAAAAAACATGGCTTAACACATGTACAGGGAAATACTCAGTTGTCATTTCAAGGCGCCCTTTGTAACGAAAGGGATCCCCAGATAGGGGTACTTCAGAGTGGAAAAAAAGAATTAGGACAA